AAAAATAATTCATTCTTCCAACCAAATTCTTTTCCCACTTTTTTAACTATTGGGTTCATTTATTAATGAAAATTTGTACCCAATAACTTATTTATTTAATTTGTTTCTTCGAATAGATTTTTAATTTTCTTTTAGTTGCAAGATTATTACAATAATCAATTAAGATCAATCTTCCAAATTCATTATCACGCGGTGTAATGTTGTGCTTTTCATTTTCTGTTTTTTGGGTTATTTTATCCATTACAATGGTAATAGTGCCATTAGTTAAAGATATATCACAAAAAAAAAAAAAATTGTGCTCTCTGACTTTGCCTTCGATATTATGGTGTTGCTATGTATGTATTCGAACTTTGTTATGTGGTTTATTAATGGAGATCTTCTATCGTTTAAGAAAAAAAAAGTTAAAATGTAGCGCCCAAAAGAGCATATTAAATTCATGTATTTTATTTTATTAAGCTCGATATATTAATTTTATTAAAAAAAAATTAAGTGGATATCCTCGTCCATTTAATTTTATTAATAAATAGAGAATAAATGGAGATTAATTAGATGTCTCCATCTATTTAATTTTCTTAATTAAAATTCTTTTAATCATAATTATTATTATTTAATTAAAATCTTAAGCAATAAACGAGGAGAAATATTAATCTGAGATAACTTGGAGCACAATATTTCGGCCCTTAGTGAGTTTCACGTGAGAAATAGAAGAAGTATTAATCTAAGATAAATTGGAGCACAATATTTCGGCCCGTAGTGAGTTTGAAAAAAAAAAAGAGGAGGAGAGTTCTTGCCTTGGTCACTAAGTTAATTCATGAAGGAGAATCCTATTCCTACCACAATAAAGACTCTTTTTATTATTCCAAGTCCCCTAAACCTAGCACTATGAATACATCCCCTCTCCCATCAGATTTATTTTTCCCTACGCTAATTATTTCATGAGATCATAAATCCCATCATAAAAAAAAAAGAGAGAGAGAGAACGAGCCCTTTTCCCTCGGCCGAGCCCCACGCCGTGCGGCCCGGTCGCCCATTCAGTAGTCGCGTGCCGCACGTCCCTCATCGCGCAGCTCCCTCACGGCCATCCACACCCAAAACCACGCAAAGAAGTCGCGCCCAGAAGCCGCACGACCGCCTAGCTCCTCCGGGCGCATCCCCGAGCCGTTTACCTTCTTCTTTTTCCCGAGCACGGTAAACCGACCTTTTTCCTACGATGGTTTGAGATTTATGTGTTCTAATAATTTATAAGAATTAAGGATTTATAAGATTAATAAATTCATGAAGTCAAGCTTAAAAGAAAAGGAAGAAAGTTCCAAGTTTGATCTTGGTTCACTCGTTTTTCAAAGATGATTTTATAAAGTGTTTAAAGTCTAGAAAAATTGAATAATTATGCTTGCGGAGTTGGGATAATTGAGAATGTTAGAATAAATTTATGTTGATGAAAAGAGAGGGGAATTCAGTGAGCTATGCATGTTTTTATGATCTATGTTCATGTTTATATGATTAAATGTCGAGAATTTATGTGATATTGAACATGTTTTAAGATGTGAAAATTATGTTTAGAAGTATGGTTTAAGTTGCTGGTAACGCAAAACACTCCGACCGGCTTGAAATCGACTCGCCTTCCTCTTCCTTGCCGGTAGAACGCCGCGTACCTGCACAGAACTCTCACACCGGAGAGATTTTCCGGTGAAGAGCCTCTGATACTTAAGTCAGTATGTGTTTGTTCAATTTTCCAAAGTAAAGAATGGATAAATCGTAAGTCACAAGAAAAGACCCACTCCCATATATATAGGAGTGAGATACCTGTCCTAGGAGCTGCCCGGATTTTGGTGAGCTGTCCTGCCCGCACTGCCCGTCCGTACACACATAGTGTGCGTGTTGTCAGAGATGTCAGAGGTGGCTATCGCCACTATCGCTCTGCACCAATGTATTCTCGCCACGTGTCCCTCTGAGCTGAGGGAGATTATTCTTCTGCGCAGGCCGTTGAGATCTTCTAATGCCACCCACGCGCCTTCTCGCGTCCACGCCACCCTCTCGCCATCTGCTGTGTGCTCGATCTGGTCGAGCCCCCCATCACTAGGTCGATCCTCGACCAGTTCTACTATTCTGCTCGATCTCCTCCCTTTTGGTCGATCATCCCTCGACCAATGCGGTTTTCTCTACTTCGAGCTGCCCGACCTATGCAGTAGGCCGGTCTATTCCGTAGTCATATAATATCCCATATCAGTTGCCCTTGTCGGGATCTAAATTTTGGAGTTTCGTCATGATAAATGTGTATTTTCACTGATTTCAATACTGCTATTCATGAGCTGTTTTGACCTTCAAGATCGCGTTTCTTGATGTTGCACTCTTCATATGAATTGTAGTTCATTATGTTGGATTCTGTGAGTTCAAGAATCTTGCAAAAACCTTTTGTATTTTGTGACGGTTGCGGGTGGTGACGGAGCCGACAATATTCTAAGCTGGCAACGGTGACGAAGTGCGACGACAGCGCTCTAGTGGCGGCGACAAACTGAAAGCGCGACTGCGTGTTGTGGCAGGATCGACTGAGCACTTTTGTTGTGTGATATATATGTGTATGTGCAGAGAGAGAGAGAGAGAGAGAGATGGAGAGAGAGAGTTTAATTAATTGGATTGGTGGTGGACCCATGATGAATGTTTAAAGTCTAATTTATCCCTCGTGAGTGGTCAAATGTATATATTTGACCACGGAATTGATATTTAATTACAAGAATGTCATCCGATGTTTGACTATCATATTTAAACTAGTACGTAACCCGTGCGATGCACGGACTGTATACGTTTTGGGAAATATAGTGTAGTACCGGTGCGCAATACGATGAGGTTATTTCATTAAACCTTTTTTTCTGAACTTTATTTAATATTTTTGTTTATAAATTAATAATTTGATTGTAATAGAAAAAAAAAAGAGAGAGAAATACAACGAAAAAAAAATCATATATTATTAAACATTTCTCTATACACAACATTATTGGTTTGATTTGCTTTCAAACCTTCTTCTCCACAAATTAAAATTTTCAGACTCTTTCTATTAGTAACACGAGAGACAACGACATATAATTGGTCATGACTAAAAATTGGTTTCTTCAAGAATAAGCCAACATGAGATAAGGATTGACCTTGACTCTTGTTTATAGTCATTGCATACGAAACCATAATGGGGAACTGCCTTCTTTGGAATTTGAATGGTACTCTAACATCTGAAGGAGTTATGGTCATTCGAGGTATCAAAATTTTATCACCTGCATGATCGCCAGTAAGAATTTTACACTCGAGAACATAATTGGAAAGTTTGGTCACAACCAATCGTGTACCATTGCAGAGTCCCATTGAGTGATCCATGTTCTGCAACAACATAATTGGAGTTCCAACCTTTAAATTCAACTCATGATTCGGTGTTCCAGAACACTTGATAGTATTCAAGAACTCAAGAGTATGGAGTTGTGCCAGAAAGTCGATATTGGAGTCAGATTTACACGTAATGTCTGAGCTTAAATACGTGTGTCCTTCAGTCAAATTCAACGACGACATGTATGCATTTATAGATTCTACGATCTCAAGTGTTGGCGCGAGTATAGCCCTATCTTTCAAGTAACTTGGATCATCGGTTGCATTCTTGAACATCGGATACGTGCTTTCAACAATTTTTGCAATTGGATCACCAGATGACTCTAGTAATAGATCATCTGGTATGTAGCACATCCATCATTTGTACCCCCCAATGTGCCATCTCCAAAGCTCGCTATCTAATCAGCAAAAGCGGTTAGCTCGTCACATTCATTCGAATCACTAATGCTCTGAAGACGCATGTTCTTTGTAAGTCTAAGCACAGTACAGTCTCCCAAATGGTAGAAGAATTAATAGCAGCATTAACAATCTTCTGACGATTCCCCTTTGGAACTACTGGAAGGATTTGTAACTTTAGAACATTTTTTCAAATTTTTATCTCAATGTTTGAATGTACATATCAACTGCCAGTTTTTCAAAGAATTTAAAAAAAATTACCAATTATAATAAAATCTAAATTTTAGGTGGGATTTTACTGTCTACTTAAATTAAATCTACTTAAATTAAATCTCTATTGTTATTTTATAGTAATAGGTGACATAATTAATGAACAAATATTTAATATATCAGAGTTCCAAGTCAAATGAAAAAAAAATGCAAATTCATTTAATTAGTAAAACAATCATTAATGAGATAATGAGCATGAAGATTTTTTTTGTATCAATACTAACTATTCATCAGAATCCCACAATTCTAAAGTCAGATGTATCACCGATTTAGTAAAATTTGTAATTTGAAAAAATATTGTTGAGATGAAAATGGCCGAATATTTGCTTAAGATTTTGATGGAATTTCCCTCAGTATACAAAAAAACGCATTTAAATACGTCTGAATCATTTGAAATATTATTTGATGGGAATTATAGAAATTAAGTTATAAGTNGGAATACAATGTATTCTAGAAATACATCATATGCATCGCATCGATGCATGTAATTTGAAGCAGAATATTTCACACCAGATTTAAAATAAAATCAAACTTAAAATAAAGTTGAAATGGATCCAATCTCTTCTTCAACCATCAATCCAATTTTAGCTACAAAATAAGAACCAAGAAAACCAATGTTTTCAATTTAATTAAGCTTTCAGCAACATATTTTGTCCCCCCAAAACAAAAAGAAAATACAAGTCAAGCAATGGCACCAGGTGAAAAGTGTTGGGAATAAAATCAAGGAATTCGGGGGGCATAAACAATGTAACTTCATAAATAACACAGTATTCCATAATATGTATGAGTTAGATAATCACAACACATTGCTATAACCCAACTACATAAAATGAGAACTTAACACAAAAGAAAAAATTTGGGCTATAAGTATCAATGACCTATGCAAAATTAATCAACTCTCATGACGCCAATTTTAGAGCAAAGGAAAAGGAATGAAAACACCAAAAACAACAATTTTGACCAACCTTCTTTAGTAACAACCGCTCGGTATGGATGGAAACTATTGTGTTGGACGGATGATACATAATACTCTTAAATGGGTTTTTCTGTGCAAGAAGGCAAAAGTAAAGTATTCTCCTTAACGACAATAGAGCTTAATCAAAGAATCTGCACCCGCTGTGAACAACCAAGATTGTCTCGGGTGGAACTTGAGATCCAAAACTTCTGCAAAAAGCACACGCACATAATTAATTATATGAGAGAAAAATTGCAAACCTATAATTATAAATAAAATAAATCTAATAAAGACCAACATTGACACTTGCAGTACTATATATATACACGCACAATTAAAACCATACATATTATAGTTACCGGGCATTATTTTAACTAACTAATTATAATTATTTAAATTTCTCACACATCAGATGCTGAAGCAAAGTATATTCAGACAATAGACTTCCTATTTGCATTCACACTTAAATTTCGAGGCGCAGGTTACAAAAAAATACCTCGTCCATCAGCACTTGAATGCACTCGATGGATCTCCAAAAAAACAATTAGAGGGTTCTGATTCAGTTGGAGCAGGAGTAGCAAGAATAAGATCTCTCCCTTAGAAAGGTGCCTAACAAGGTCTTTCGAACCCCGAGGGCCAACGGAGGTGCCGACAACACTCGAAGCTAGGCCCGCACGCACTATTCTTCTTGGTTATGCCCGATCCTGCAAGTCAAGAGTCTGGGAATGATGCAACAGCCAGTATTACGTCAATTCCATCGAGCCTCCGCTCTTGATACCGTTTTAAGAGCTTTGGGGGATGCGTCAAACATTTGTTTATATTCATTTTGTTTGCAGGGCCGCGACCGGAGAAGGGGCAAGCCTAAACCTCTCTGGACTCTCTCCCTCCCCCGGCCTCAGAAGGGTTGGAAGTCCCTTCTTTCTCATCTTTTAGCTCGCACAATCACACGTGGGACTATCAAAAGATGCGTTTGTAGGCATTCAATATCGGCTTAGGAGTTCTTTCTTGATCTCAAACTCAATAAAAATGGCTCAGGGGGATGTTAACGAATTGGTCCACTACAGAAACGAGACTTCATAAGTTGAGGGAAGCCATACTCCTAAAGAGCGAGTGTTCAGTTCCGCCCATACCCGTATTTCTAAAGCCAACCTATGCCTCCTGCCCCGTAGAAGGTTATTCTTAACTTATCATAGAACTCAATTACTTCCTTACCTCTCCCCTTTAGTATGCTACGCCAGGTATAAGAGTCCGAAGGACGAGCAACCACGGAAAAAAAATCAGACTTGCGCAAATAATCTTCAAAAGATCCACCGCTTCCTTAATAGGGCGTAGTAATCGACGAAATGCTTCGGGGAGTTGAAAATAAGCATAGATCCGGAGATTCCCGAATAGGGCAACCTTTCGAACTGCTGCTGAATCCATGGGCAGGCAAGAGATAACCTGGCGAACTGAAACATCTTAGTCTACACTACGCCCTATTGCAAGCGTTGTAAACAATATATTAGGATAGTGAGGCAAGCAAGCTCACGTAACTACATTCACATAGCTTACGCAACCTTACGTAAGTGCCTGCCGCAAAGGAAATAGGAAAACTTGAGTCCAGGTGATACAGAATATATCCCATTTGGCACGGGGGATAAGAGAGAAAGGGAGTTTGAGGAATATCTATACCTAACATAGTAATTAAAATTCACGTGAATCTCAAAGACCAAAAATTGTCAGTTGGCCCGGTAAGTAACTATACAATACACAGAATGTTACAGAAATATTTCCTTTCTGACTTTCTGAATTCTTTATTTCCTATTAAACCGATCACAAGAATACCTGTTACAGTACCTATTATCCAAAGAGGAATCCTTCCAGTAGTATCGGCCATTTACTCCACTTCCCTCCAATTTCATCAAGTGGTCATGCTAGAGACATAAACAGTCGTGGATAATTATGAGATCCTTCTGAATGGGCTAGATGGTTCGTCCACCAAGGACGGATCTGGTGCTGGCTTAGGGCAACCAAAAAGCATTGAACCTTAGCCGACTTCGAACGAACGAAGAAAAAAGCATGGAAGTGCAGTGATGTATGCAGCTGAGGCATCCTAACAGACCGGTAGACTTGAACCTTCTTTTCTACACTTCGCTTCGCTTCGTTTTTTAGAGGACAACTTTGCCTCAACTTTAGAAGCAAAGCGAAGTTCAGTCAAGAATATGGTCGAGACTCACAAGCCCTCCAGGGACTTCACTGCGCTTCGCTTCGTTTGTATGGTCGAGCATCTTCAAACCTTGTAGTCAAGTTTCACTTTGCTCTCCTTTCTTTGATCTAGAGATAGAGCCTCATAGCTAGCTAGACCCCACTTGTTGATCCATCCCTTCCGACGTATTGGATAGCATCTGAAAAAATGTGGAAAGTCTCACTCCTGACAATCAAGGGAAAAACATCCGTTGGATTGACAAAGTTGACCTCGACGTCAAGGAGAGGAGAGATGGGTAGTTATAATTGGCTAGTTGTAAATAGCCTCGGGGCTGTGGAGCAAAGGATTAGCCAGGACCTACGCCGAGGTATTGACGGTCATTTTCAAATCTTGCAGAACAGAATGGGATACGATGAGATAGAAACAAAGACAGGGTTCCAAACCTACTCTTAACGGCCAAAGTGAGCCCCTTTAGTCTGAATTCGTTAAGGTGTTAAGCATCCATGGCTGAATGGTTAAAGCGCCTAACTCATAATTGGCGAATTCGTAGGTTCAATTCCTACTGGATGCACAACAATGTGACCCTCGAACAATTCTATTGAAATTCGCTCTCTAGCGATGGAATTTCATCATCCGTACATAACGGATGATTTATAATGATATTTCAAAAACAAGATAATCAAACCATCAGTAAGAGTAAGGTAAGCATGAGACCCATTTCGTATAATATTCGTCCCGGATGTATCGTCAATGTAATCGAGCCTTTCGCCAGCGCGAAGTCCGACGGACTCTGATCAGATGGTAGATGTCGTTAATGACGCCCACAGAAGAGTACGCTTGAAAGAACGAATTCAATCTCAGAATAAACCATGCCATGAAAATCATATATCGTGCAATCATCTGAGCACAAGGCAATTAAAGGATATGACCGATGGTAAACAACCCCAGTAATGTCCTTTGGATGACATCTGAATATTTTGTATCAGCACACCAATTTGAAACCCAAAAAAAAAAATAAAAAATTACAAACATCACTTGCAACAATCAATAATTTGTGGTAATTTGTGCTACAATTTCCATCATATTTCCAAAAAAAAAAAAAAATCAAACATATTTAATGTTCTATGATTAGGCTCAACAAAGAACAATCGATAGCTATCTATTGTCTCCTAACATCCTTCCAGCTTGTTGTTAGCCTCAAAGCTCTTTTCCAGCAAGTGCACCCGTGACATTAATGTCCAAACCACGGCACCACCAATCGAACAACAACCTCTAAGATGTAACTAACCATGAAAAACATAGTTCTATTTTTAAATTACAAGGACCCGATCCACAGATATGCTTTGGATTGTATCTTGAGGTATATTTGCAACTAATTATTTGTATAATGTCTCAAGAGTTCAAGACAAACTAATTAAGACATGAGTATGTATTCATTGTGATCAAATTTATTACGTCACGTTATTCTCGATTACTGAAGTAATTTACATTCAACACGCATTGATCAAGCAAACACCATAATGGATCAGATTCCGAGGTGTGACCTGGATTAGAACATATGTGTTCCGTTCAACAAAAGCTTTATTCATATTCAATGCCAAGGTGAACCACATGTAGTTATCTTCAACTGCAAATTAAAAGAAGATGAACAATTAAAGGAGAAACCTACTCAGGAGTGAGACGACGTTTCATTTCCATCGAAATCGGCCATGCTGAAGAAAGGCCGCCTCCTTTCCTCCAGGCCTAAAATAGAGCTTAAAATCTAAATATACGATTACACACATAAAAATTGTGAAGCACATGTAATGTAAAAAACTGTAAAAATAACACGCAGGGCAAAACAGGAATGAAATTGAAAAAGGACCGTCTATGGATACCTCGTAAATGTTAGTCGCCGCCGTTACTCCGAAAAAACGAATCTGTATCAGAAGTATAAATCCATTTCCGTACAGGATTATCAATTCTCCTTGTAGAATCGTTGAGAGAATTGCATCAAGATGACATGCTGAACTCGTGAAGGATTTGATTTTACTTATATTTCTTCTGAGGTTATGTCAGCATCTCTGTAAACCGTCTCCCCGACAATATTCCTTGTTGAGCTCTCGAGGATTTTCAAACTATTTCCTCGCTAAACAACCGATTCCCTCAGTTCCTAAGATTTTTAATTATCTCGCAAGATTCTATGACCTTCTCGGTAAGTAAACACAGTCGAAACCAGATAAGCAGAACAAAGTCTAAAAATAAGATCTCTTTCAACATTCAACTGAGACATTGTAAAGAAACCAAGCTCAAAATTTACATTATCTGAAACTTGTCTCACATCTCAAAGTAATTGAGACAGAGTAATAAGACCAGCAACAGCAAGTACTTCTAACAATATATATAAAAAAAAAACAGCAAGTAATTCTAACCTCGATATTCAGCAGCTGGCTGGAAGAAGGTCACACAAAAGCGTTAATTGATTATCTTCATAAACTTCATAAATACTCGAAGCAAAAGGGCATTCATAAACTTCATAAACAACACTCTTGAAGCATAGACCATAGAGGCAAAGTAATATAAGATGGCTAACTTTCAATTTTCGAGAAAACGGGTTCCACAAAAGATTGATATAAATAAATAAAGAGTTGAGGAATATCAGGAGCGTCCACAACATCAAATAAGTTCAAAATTGGTGATTCGGAAAATTTTTTAGAAGAAATGCAGGGTCCAGGTAATAAGAGAATTTGGATATCAATGACCAATAGATTATAATTCCAATGACACCGTTTTACTATCTGGATGCTCTGTAGTCGGAAATTTTGAGAATACTGCTACCTTAGTCTAATACACCACGTAAAAAGATATCAATCTATTATCCCTTAAAACAAATCGATTTCTCTGTTTGCCAGTAACCCACCAATCACGCACATTAAGCCATGAATGAGAAACAGAGCTGCTCAAATGCACCCTCCTAGATCATGACAGATTTCAAAGTAAATCTCGATTACATCCAGCAAAAGCATACCAATAAAAAATGAGATGGACCTAAAAGTTTTGGTAGATTCATGGTGACGAAAAATTAACTCAGTCGTTCAAGAAAATAATTCAATAGTATTCAACATAAGGTAGACTATACAGAAAACATGTATCAGTGACGATCTTCAGTAAGAGCCTCAAATTCCATATGGGTATCGGCAAGCCAACTGGCTTAAACATGATAACCCACCCTGACTATTTTTCAGAAGCACCGTGAAAAGTACACTACAGAAGGTAATGCAACCAAAAAGGGTGAAGATGATGAAGACTATCTGGCACTAGCTAAAACAAAAGGACTGTATATAGATGGATATGATGAAGTGATATGGTTTATCAATCATAAGTGAATATATGTTGAATTACCTGTCATGTGTTCTGCTACAGACAAGCTACAGCTCACTATAATTATGCCAAACGGCACGGAATTCTTCACGGAATGTGTTCAGGCGAGCTTTCAAGTTGGGTGTTCTAAAGCTCGCGTGAATGAGAGTGGCTGTGGCAGAGAAAGCAAGTTAGAGCCAATAAATTCAGAGGGCAAAGACGCATAAGAAAATGAAATTTTGAGTTACCAAGAAGTCCAATAGCAAAGGCCCATAAGACCATGAGAATACCACATGAAGCAAACCAGAGGAAGAAACTCACTGCAAAGCGGAATAAGAAGGCATAGTTATTAACATGTGACAGTACATCCTCCAAGATGCAAAGTAAACAATATGTGAAAGAGAAGATATCTCTTACTTGCAGAAAATACCAAGACGAATACCCATCAAGGCTGTCCACATATATGTATTGCTCGTTTTGCAGATGGGCGCCCTCGAATAACAGGTCTAAAATTACACGCTCATGTAAGAACCAGAAACAGATGATACGCAAATTTAGTAGTAACTATACTTACGTGAGAGGAGGTCTCATCTTTGCTGCCAAATGAGGAGAAAACTGTCTGACAGTCCTCGTGACCTTTTTCACTAAAAGTCCCTGCAAAGCTACAAGAACAAACATTGACGATATTAAAAAGATGACAGGACAATGCCGAAAAACAAAAGAATAATGGTTCAAGACTATTCAAGACATGATCAACCATCTATCATAACAAAACCAGTTCTCATCCCAGAAAAGTATTAGGAAGGCGAACCGAATATCCAGACGTCGTCTTCAAGGACCTGTAGCTAAACTTAAGAGTGGGCCCGACCCGAGCCTGACTTCGAAGTTGATGGAGAGCTTGTGGCGATCAACAACGGCGATATCGGTGGAAGAGAGGTGGACGCCGATGATGGTTAGGGGAATCGCCTTGAGAATTGGGGGTTTCACGGTCCTTCCAGAGAATGAGCGAAGATTTCATTATGTAAGTTTTTTTCTCGAGATAGTAGCGGCAATTTTTAGTGGAGATGCATACTTAAGTAAGATGAGATAAGATTATGGCAAAAAAATCTCACCATATCTTTAATGATAAACAAATAATCAGCAGGCATATAGGGAAAACAATGAAAGGCAGGTAGGCAAGCTGGGGTAAAGAGATTCGCCGTCAGTCTTCGCGGGACCCCGCGGTGAGGAATTATACCACATAGGAAATTTAAAATCTTTCAAAAAATTCGAATTGTATATGGGCGGGCTTATTTCAATTTTTTGCCAAAAATCTTCCTCATTATAGTAAACTTTAGGCGGGAATTGAAATATTTTTTTCTTGATTTTCTACATGATTTTTTCAAAAAACTATAATTCCCTCTTTATATATTAATAGATTTTAATTTAATCATGACCATTAACTTGTCAGATCCAATGGCCTTGATTCATTTTCATTTCTTTCATTGTGCTGAGGATTCTACAAAAATTTTATGGAGCCATTGGATGGTTTTCTTATGGAGTCATCCATCACTTAATATATTGACACATGTCCAAATTGTATTTATTGCAGGACAAATGTCAATAAACTATTAGTGAATAAGTGTGGATAACTCCATAAGTCGAACTATCTGATGGCTCCATAGCAAAACTGAGGGATTCTATATGCTTTTTTAAATACTAGTTTAGCTATCCCTAGACGTTGCATATATAAGCAGGGCTAGACCAAGACTTGGTTTAATTACGCCATTAGTTCAATTGTTTATCAAGATTTAAGACAACTTACTGTTGATAAACGGATTTAATCAACGTTAACAATGTAATATGAACACAAAAGATTGCAGAAAATGAGATTTTTATTGAATATTTTGAAGTCGGTTTTAATACAGAGAGGTTGGTTTATCAATGTACTTCAAGTCGGTTTACAATAAGATTGTCGAGTTGAATATATGAGTGTGTATGATCTTTTTTCGAACCCTTCTCTCGTTTTTGGAACTGCTATTTATAGGTATGTCTGGCACACATCCCTAGACAAATCATTCCCGTTTTAATGAAGATTTGACGTTTTAGGGGCGGCGATGACGTAGGAGAACTTTTTTAGGCAATGATTAGCATGGGCGCGCCTCTATCTATGTGACGAGTGTCACATCTGTCGGAATGAGTTCGGTTCGTCTTGCGAAGTCGGTATTTTGATAAACCTTCAATATTCTACGACTTCTTGATAGATAACTTTTTGACCGAATTGGCCTTTTTCAAGATTCAGACGACTTGTGTTGATGACTTCCGAAAATTCTGCGGTATCATTTACGGGCACCGAGGTGAGATTACCGAGATGCAACATGTATTGCTTGACGTCGTCCAGAATCCAGTTTATGTATTAATCTTCGCGATTCCTTTAATTGAATCATAACATCAAGATAATCTATCTTGATATCAACATAGAGGCCCCTGGCATTAAAAAGTATGCAGAGTATGCATGCTTTTGAATGACATCTTTTTTCTAATTATTACCGGTTGCCGAGGTAAGGTAAGGATTTCCCACATAAGCTTAAACCGAGGTATTTCCCTTAGGCGAGACTTACGCCTTTTTGCTCCTTTATCAAAGTTGTTCCATGATATAAGAAATTTATTGAGCGATTTTCGAAAGGTCACGAACGTGGTGTCTCCACTACTCTTCACAATAGGCACGTACCGAAATTTCCGGACATTAACGTTGGCGGTTTTTTGGGACACGCGTACGTTCGAGATTATATCTGAACGGTATGTCATAGTAAAGGGGCACTTCCCTGAAGCGACGCGTCATTTAATCACGCGCCTCCCTATCTTCAACGGTTAGAAAATTTCGAGCACACATATATATATACGGGTAAGTTCACGGTTTCTCTTCACCAAATCTTCATTTAAGCAACTGTTCATCTCTCTGACTATCTCTCACATATTCCACCTCTCCTCTTTCATCTTTTTCGTCCTATTTCAGCAAATCCAGAACCCTTTGAAAGTTTACATCACTTTTCGGTAAGCCCTAATTTCTTCCCTTCATTTCATAATTTCTTTGTATCGTTTTTCTGAGCTTTTATCATGGCGGCGAGTGGTGAGAACGTCGGTACGGGCAGCAGCAGTAGGACTGTTTCTGACTTGAGGTTGGATGAGGAGTTAATGGAGTTGATGGGGGATTATTACCGGTGGGACCCTGTTTTCGTGGAGCGTCTGGATATTCGTAAACGTGATATTGAAGGAGATGCCGAAGTGGAACGGGATGTTCCTGTGAGGTCGGGTTATTGGAATCGTCCTGCCCGTCGATGGCCCAACGAAGAGGTTCCGTTTTTGGGGGAATCTAGTACTATGACTGACGCCGACGTAGTTCTCCTTCGCGAGTTTGTACGGATTCCTACCTCGGTGAGGGTCTTTGCTCCTTATCCGGGAGAAAGGATTCATTGTCCTCCCCCTGGGTGCATTGGGATTTTTGCTGAAAGTCTGAGGTCGGGCCTGAGATTCCCTCTAGACAACGTCATAACCGACTATCTGCGCGATTGGGGTCTCAGTCTCAGCCAGATTACTCCCAATAGCTGGAAAAAGATTATTGGGATTATGGTCCTTTTAGCACAAAAGAAAATCCCCTTCCCTACCATCGACGAGATGAGAAGCATTCTGTTCTTTAAGAGGAGTAGGGAGCGGGATGGAGTTCCTCCAACGGGTTGCTTTTTCTGTGCGGCGAGGCCGCAGTACGAATTGAAGATAGGACAATTGGTTACTGGGATACCTGAAACCCTTCATGGCTTTCAAGACGAATGGTTGTGGGTTGGTGGAGATTGGCAGTCTCCCGACTTCCGACTTGAGGCCCCAATTGATGGGATGACTGTCCCAACCCGAGTTGTCTCTTCTTTCCGTAAGTTCTTTTCTTTTATTCAGAATTTCCTGACAGGTTGTTTTTCTTTCGCTAACAGGTCGGACCTTTTCGTATTTGTAGCAAAAAGAAAAAGGGAACCGAAATTAAGCAGGGAGTTTAGAGAAAAACTTGAGGAGATTGCAAAACTCAGTGTAGCGGATCGCAAGTGGAATCTGCTGACCAAGAACGCTAAACTTGCTGAGGTGAAACTCGGACCCAAAAAGGCAATTCCCGACTTTGAACCCGGTGAGTTCTTATAATAGCAATCCAATTCATGGCCTTGAGCTAGATGAATTCATCAAATATTGATATAATTTTGGTTATTTGCTTTCTTCCTTCAGTTTATTACCCGCTGTTAGGATTTTTCGGATTCCAATCGGTTCGAGAAGCAAAAGATTATCGCCGTAGATTTTCAGTGAAAGATACCGAGATGGGTCGCATGAATTTTATGGCAAATTTGAAGAAGAAAGCTGTTACGGGCCGAGCCGCGACGGGTGATGAGATTGGAGTCACGTCAGGTACACCAATTGCAGTCACGGTACCGGCCCCTGTCAGTGAGCCTGTTGTTGAGCCCCTTCCCGAGGCGAATACCGAGTTAGTGGTTGTTACTCATTCTCCACCTCGGGAGGTTGAGAAAGAAACTGAAGCTGCCCGTCCTGATCCCCATGTCATTGTTTCGAGTTCAGAGGACGTCGAGGCCGTTCAGAAAACAATGGAAGAAGCCTCTTCTCAACAGAAAAAGAAGAAGAAAAAGAAGAACAAGAGGAAAGCAGGTGAAGAGTTTGACGTCGATCAGGAACGTCGTTCAAAGTCTAGACAGGATGTCGGTCAGCTAGACTTAGAAAGGAATGCTCCGGTCCATCAGGATGGAGGAGATACGTATCTACCGATTGATGAGGAGCGGATCTTGGAACAGAATCTGCCAGAGGACTTGATGGAGAAGTGGTTTACTCAGTACCATTCCATGATCGTCCCCAAATTCAACAACAAATTTCACCAGCCCTCCCATGTGTTAGAAGCAGCTCGGGTTCCAATGATGTCTTGGGATCCGGCGACTGAGGCTCGAGTATCTGGGTTGTCGAGCTCTTACAGGTTCAGTTATGCCAAAGCGACGTTGGGGAGAGCTTTGGTGGGCCTGTGTGCGATGGAGGACAAGTTCAGGATGAATGTCGCTGCACTCAACGAGCGGAAAGATAAACTGGAACTTCGTGACGGTCAACTGGCTTCATTGGAGGCAGATAAGGCCAGCCTGACGACTGAGGTTAAAAACAAGAACGCCCAACTCGTTGCAGCAAAAACCGAGATGGAAAGTTTGACTTCCGAAAGGAAGCGTTTGGAGGATGAGGTGCGCAAGCTTACTGCTCAAATCGGCGCATCTGAGATGGAAGCTCGGAATAATTTGAACCGTTACCAGAAGGAGATGGAGGACCATCAGCGAACTCGGGAGGAGCATCAGAAGACTCGTCAAGACCGAGCTGAAAAGGAAGCGCGACTGATTCGTCTGGCGGAAGCCCATGCTTCCGAATTGAGAAGTTTAGAGCAGCAGAAGGAAGCCTTCGGCGAGCTGAAGTTCGCACAGGGGTTGGAAGAAGGCAAGGAACTCGGGAAACAAGAGTTCAGGGGTTCCGAGGAGATGGAGAAAGACATCGAGCTTAACTCTTGCTTAAATCTTCGTTGGGTGATCGACAGATTCGATGCAGGATTGTATGGTGTCGGAGATTTGAAAGCCATCATGCTCATGAAGATGGACAGGTTTGGATTCGACCCTGAGATTGAAGAACTTCATGTCCCTGCCGATGATGACGAACGTGCTTACTGTGAGCTGGTTTTAGCCAACACTGACGCCGACGTGACAG